TTCATTGTTGAGCTGCTAACATTCACCCTGGTGTTGGGAAGATTTGATAGACGAGTTTGGAGGACAGTGGGAAGGAATGACTGCTTAGGAAGGGAGAGATCCTGGCAATGAAGTGCAGCCCAGGGTGCTGGCCCGACAGCCTGAGGGGACCCTGATGACCCTGAGGGACCCCTGGGTGTGTTTGAGGCTTACATAGTTCAGATTTCTGCTTGTCTCCACTTGCTCTCCACATGCCTTTCCTGAGGCTGTGCGTTCTGCTCCTCCAAGAGAGTAAGCCTCTGGCCTGGACAGGCCCACTTCTACCTCACTGGCTGCAGTGGGTCAGACCTCGTCTTTGGCTCCAGCTGCCTCTTGGTTCCCATTCCTTGTCTTCTCCCTGTCCTTCACATCTGCCGCTTTCCCAAGCCTCGCCTTTTCTTCAGCTGCCCTCGACTGTCCTTCCATCTCTTTGTACCGTAGCCTTATGTCTTTGCATCATGGATGTTCAGCACTTGCAGACATTTTAGCTTTGCCTCATGTCATGTTTACTGTAGCTTTATTGTCATGCGTGTATATGTGTTCTCCCTAACTTAACATCTCTCAAAGTGTGTCCCATGAAATCATGAGATCAGAGTAAATGCAAAACAAGTTTATAAACAAAGGATAGGCAATGGTTGTTTTAGCAAAGGTTAAAAGCCTTTTTAAACCATAGGCCACTGCAGAGCTTTAATTCATACATATGGATCCTGAGTCTCTATGAAGAGTTTCTCAGTGTTATTTACTTATTTAAGAACCTGTTTTTCATCTTGTGTGGTAGGTAGTATTCTGCAGGACACAGTTTCCTGAAGAACTTCTGTAATTCATGTAGGTTCTTGAAGGGTAGAAACTGCATTGTCCTTCACTGTGGGATCCCCATGTTAGCTGAGGGCAGTGCTAGGTGGGGCGTAAGTCATTCCTGAGTAAGCTCTTAGGACAGTTGCTTTTCTTTGATATGGAGTTTCACTCCTATTGCCCAGGCTGGAGTGCAATGGCGCGATCTTGATTCACTGCAACCTCCGCTTCCCAGGTTCAAGCTATTCCCCTGCCTCAGCCATCCTGAGTAGCTGGGATTACAGGCATATGCCACCACACCTGGCTATTTTTTTTGCATTTTGAGTATAGATGGGGTTTCACTCTGTTGACCAGGCTAGTCTTGAACTCCTGACCTCAGGTGATCCATCCACCTCTGCTTCCCAAAGTGTTGGGATTACAGGCATGAGCCATCGTGCCCAGCTTTTTTTTTTTTTTGAGACGGAGTCTTGCTCTGTTGGCCAGGCTGGAGTGCAGTGATGCAATCTTGACTCACTGCAACCTCTGCCTCCCAGGTTCAAGCGATTCTCCTGTCTCAGCTTCCTAAGTAGCTGGGATTACAAGCTCCTGCCACCATGCCTGGCTGATTTTCATATTTTTAGTAGAGATGGGGTTTCACCATTTTGGTCAGACTGGTCTTGAACTCCTGACCTTGTGATCCACCCGCCTTGGCCTCCCAAAGTGTTTGGATTACAGGCATAAGCCACCGCATACAACCAGTTGCTTTTTTTTTTTTTTTAATCTTTTAAATTGTGAAATTCATATAAAATTCAGCATTTTAAAGTGTGAAATTCAGTGGCATTTAATATGTTCACGATGTTGTGCGATCTTCACTACCATCTATTTCCAAAACATTTTCATCACCCAAAAGGAAGCTCTGTACCTACTGAGCAGTCACTCCTCATTTGCCCCCTCCCTGTCGCCCTTACCAACCACTAGTTTGCTTTCTGTCAATTAATTTGCCTCTTCTGGACATGTAATGGAATCATACAATATGTGGTGTTTTGTGCCTGGCTTCTTTCTTTAATAAGGTTTTGATAGTAATCCCAGCACTTTGGGAGGCCGAGGCAGGTGGATCACGAGGTCAAGAGATCGAGACCATCCTGGTCAGCATGGTGAAACCCCGTCTCTACTAAAAATACAAAAATTAGCTGGGCATGGTGGCGCACGCCTGTAATCCCAGCTACTCGGGAGGCTGAGGCAGGAAAATTGCCTGAACCCAGGAGGCAGAGGTTGCGGTGAGCTGAGATTGTGCCATTGCACTCCAGCCTGGGTAACAAGAGCGAAACTACGTCTCAAAAAAAAAAAAATAAGGTTTTGATATAGATGCAAGGTCTTAGAACCGGATGATACCTCTGCTTCTCCAAAGCAATATTTTATATCATTGGCCAAACCCCATAAATGTGTAAGTAACCAGCCAGGCACAGTGGCTCATACCTGTAATCCCAGCACTTTGGAGGCAGAGGTGGGAGGATCACCTGAGGTCAGGAGTTCAAGACTAGCCTGACCAACATGAAGAAACCCCATCTCTACTAAAAATGCAAAAAAATAGCCAGGGGTGGTGGCACATGCCTGTAATCCCAGCTACTCGGGATGGCTGAAGCAGGAGAATCGCTTGAACCTGGGAAGCGGAGGTTGCAGTGAATCAAGATCGCGCCATTGCACTCCAGCCTGGGCAACAGGAGTGAAACTCCATCTCAAAAAACAAAATGTATAAGTAACCCAAAGCAGCCATTCATCTGGCATCCTCCAAGTTGTATGGCCAGGTTAAAAATAACCTGGAATACTAGTTGCCATTACCATGATTTGACCTGGGACTTCAGGAAGCTGGCTTGAACTATGCTGGAGTGAGCCAGGTCTAGAGCCCTTTCCTGGAGGTCAGAGGTGCCTGAGCTGTTGACATAGTTGGCTCATCCATCTTGCTCATCCTTTTTCTAGACAGAGGTCTCGGCATTCCAGACTATTCATTGTTTAATAACTGTAGAACATTCTGGAGTGGGCTGCGTTCATCCTGGGGAAAGATTGTACCACCCACGGCACCGCAGAACCTCCATTGGCCCTTCAGGCAAACTCTGTGAGCCTGAAGGCTCGTGCAAAATTGGACAAGGCAGTGTCTCATCCCAGGGCCCTCTGTCTCACATCTTGGAATTCCCAAGGAGTGGGATATCTCTCACCCACTATAAAGACAGCTGCTGGCTGCCCCTTGTAGCACCCTGTGCTCAGCAGTGATGACCTCTCACCTGCCTTATGAGCTTGTGCAACCCCTTTCCTGTTGTTTCATTGAATTGTCAAGGATCTCTCATCTTTGGCCTGCACCCTTTGCCCTCCACTTACTGCTATCTCTGGAGTCCAAAAATACCACTACTGACGAGAGTTACCTACCTGCCTAAAATAACGTCTTTCAGTGCACCATCTTCTGCCTAAGAACCTGTAATACTGTCTTGGTGTTCAGACTCTCTCTTGGTTTTTGAGCCCTTCTCTTTCCTTCTCAGTGTAGACAGTGACCCTTCCTACTCACCAAACAGGATACATTCTTCTCCCCGTTCTACATCATCTCTTAGCAACTCCTTGCCAAGCTTGGAACTGACCTCCTTCTCTCATTTTGCCTTGATAAGTCTAACTCTGCCTTTGAAGCTCACTTGAGACTCAGCAGCTGCACAAATCTTCCCCAGCATTCTAGCAACTCTTTCTAAGGATTTTATCTCTTAGTCTTCCCCCTTCGGATACTCAGCTCTCAGAGGAAGGAAGGATAAAGTAAACAAGTGGCATGGGAAGAATTGTTATTGCAGCCTGTACTTATCTTGAATTTTTGTTCTCATCTGTAAAACAAGTAAGGGATAAAGTGGGCGTATTAGTTTCCTATTTGCTGCTATAACAAGTTTCTACAAACTTAATGGCTTAAAGCAACACAATTTATTCTCTTACAGTTCTGGAGATCAAAAGTCCCAAATGGGTCTTCAGGGCTACATTCTTTCTGGAAACTTGAGGGGAGAATCCATTTTCTCATCTTTGCCAGCTTTTAGAGGTCATCCTCAGTTCTTGATTAATGGCCTCATCGTCCATCTTCAAAGCACATCAGCCTCTGCTTCTGTCATCATATCTCTTCTCCGACTTTCTCATGCTTCCCGGTTTCCCTTATAAGGACCTTTGTGATGATTGTGTTGGGCCAACCTGGATAATTCAGGGAGTCTCTCTATCTCAAACTCAATCACATCTGCAAAGTCTCTTGCTGTGTAAGGTGACTTATGCACAGGTTCTGGAGATTAGAACATAGATATCTTGGGGGCCGTATTCTGCCCACAGTGGATTCTTAGGTCTCTTGTGTTTCTAACTTGTCTTGATCTAAAGATGTATTTCTTCCACTTATTTAAGAGCTTGGCACACACAGTGCTAGGCTTATCAACTTCTTGATAAGTTAGGTTTATCCCTGAGGATTTCCTCTTCTCAGACTGTTATTAGGGATTCTAGGGCCTGGTACCACTCAATAATAGAACCGTGAGCACAAACCTTAGGGTGTTCTGATTTGACTGCACTTTTACACACAGCAGTTTGATACTGCCTATCTACCCATCGTTGATTTTGTGCTTTGCAAATTTTGAAAAGACCTCAAAGAATTTTATCTGTTTCCCAGTAACCAGGGATAGCCTTTAAACAGCCTGTTAATTACACTGGTGATTTCTGTTGTATTTCTAGTGGTCTCTGCATAAAGTCGGGGATGTGTTTCCAGATCCTCTTGCGTAAGTTGAAGTAGACATGTTGTTGAGGTCTAGAAGCCAAACAGTCTTGGATACTAACCTAGCTAGTCTCATCTGTAATTGCTACTTAGTGTTAAATTTATGGTATTTCATGGCAATTTAGATTGGCATTTATATGGGAATTGTGCTGTTTTCTTTCCCTCCATCCTATTGGGCAGTTTCCACCTTGGATCACCATCACTTACAAGGCAGTAAAGAACCATGCATAACATACATTTATAATGGCTCTATTGTGTTCTCCCCAGTGCTCAGCTCATTGTGCTGAAATAGGATTCCCCTTGGGTTGAAAAACTGTCCTGCTCTTAAAATTTTAAGTTTTGAGGTTACTTTTGGCTGTAGTAGCTGAGAAATACACAGTGTGAGTCAAGCAAAAGTGTAGCTTGCCTGCTGAAGTTTTCTTTCCATTTTATCTCCTAGATGCACCCACTGGGCCTATGTAATAACAATGACGAAGAGGACTTGTATGAATACGGCTGGGTAGGAGTGGTGAAGCTGGAACAGCCAGAATTGGACCCGAAACCATGCCTGACTGTCCTAGGCAAGGTAAGCACCAGGCCCTTGCATTCACCCCATTTCTGGTTGGTGTTTTCCACTCTTCCATTTCAGCATTCCTCAAATAGCTGATTATGGAGAAAAGCCATGCTGGCACAGTGCTCCTTCCCAGCTGTAGTTGTGTGAGGTGGGGACTGAGACATGCCTTGTAGTGGCCCACCAGTGTTTACAAGCCCAGACTCTGAGAAAGACTGCCAGTCTCAGAGTGGGCTCTACCTCTTGTCCACTGTGTGGCCTTGGGCAAGTTGCTTTCCCTCAAGGAGTCTCAGTTTCTTGACTGTGAAATGGGTTAATAATAGAGATACTTTATCTTATACCCTGGGCTAGATGTTTCAGAATTCTGAGATTTGGGGGATTTAGAAAGGCATTAAGGGGTATAGATTTTATATTAAGTAACCTCCAAGGGACCTGGGGAAGTAACCAAACATATTCTCATTTGTATAGCAAACCATAGGGATCTTCACATTAAGTGGAAAACTACAATCTAAATAGCCTCATGTTAGTTCACTGCAGCTTTGCCTCCAGATGAGTTCAGGTCTTTTAAGTTTTGCTGCCAAATAAATTATGGAAAAATGTTTGGGTTTTAGAGCTTTTTTTGGTTTCAGAATGGCAGACAGCAATTATGGTCCTGTATTAGAACTTACCTCATACGTGGTTAGGAGGTGAGAAGAGATGCAAATGCCTCACACAAGAGTAAGTCCTCAGTAAACTTTTGCTGCCATTAGCTACCATCACTCCATTTAGAAAGACTGAAAAAGACTTTTTAGCCAAAAGGGTCAGCATTACTTTGACTACAGTATAACATAGAAATAAATTTACTTTGGAAAGCCACTCATCAACAGTCTTAAAATATGACGGGTAACAGCCTGTTTTAAACTGGATGATTTTATTTAAACTGCATCATTTTGTAAAAAGCAAAGGTTCAGAGAAGGTGATTTGAATTTTGATTTTGTTGGGAGAAAGGTGGTCTCTCCTAAGGATAGTGGTACTTGCTGGATATCTTTTGTATTCTCAAAAGCTACCATTCTAGGTACCGTGGGGAGAGAGCTGGGGCAAAAAACTGTCCTTGTTCCTGACCTCTTGAGGTTCTCTTGGGAAATCCAGGAGAAAGAAGGGGTGGTTGTGAAGCAGGGTGCTAGAGAGGGAGCCCTTCCCAGACTTGAAGTAGCCCCTGCCAGTGTCTCCTGAAAGACCTTTGACCTTAGACCCTTACAGGTCTAATCTATTTGTGGTTTTTGTGTCCCTCTTGTCTTCTGAATAACTTCTAGTCACTTGTCAAGTTCTCCTGCCCTTCGTTGGAAAAAATAACCCCACAGGAATTATTAGCTGTTTGGTTTACAGTTCACAAAGTTGAATTGAGGTGTTTTAGGTGGCTCAGGCCCTGATACTTCATCATTTAAATAATTGGCCAGAGTTGCTTAATGGTGGTAGGAGAGCAATGACCCCCTTGAGAATATTTTAGTGTTTTCCTAGGAGAAATGCCAGCTACATCTACAGGGTAGGAACAGTGCTTTCCTTGTAGGTATTATACTCCTAATATAACATTTTCTCCTGTACCTTAACTGCTGCTATGCAGGAATTGGTTCCCTAGTTTCATTTGCTTTGCCCCAGTCTGGTGGGGCTCCATCTTGTGTCTCTTGCATCTATAACTGGGTTGGAACAGGGATCACAGGGTCACCATATAGTTTTCTCACGGTTTAGCAGTGGGGGAACTTGTTGAAGTCACTCAGAGAACCCAGCTATTTCCTCCTCCACCTGGAACAACCATGTAGTGGTTTTACCTGGAGAGTTTTGTATGATTTGGCCTGCTGGCCCGTGAAGCCAGGGGGAGTAAAAAACCCTAGGCATATATTGAATCATTAAGTGCTTCTTGAGTTTATTCATTCACCAAATATTTATTGAATGCAGAGGCCCAGAAACTGAGCGTGTGGTTCTACCTGCTTGCAAGCAGCAACCCCCACTGTTTCTCTGGGAAAGGCTGGTGGCGGGCAGCATTTACACATGGTTAGTCACTGCAAGTTTACACCTGAATAAAATCATTAGTACAAAAGCTTGGGCGGTTTCACATTTGTTTAAAGCCTGGTCCAGTGTGGGAGGCACGATGAATCAAGATCTCTGTGTCTTCTCTCTTCCTCCCTTTCTTGCTCTCCTGCTGCCCCTCTCTCTTTCTCTCATCATCTTCTTAAAGTGTGGTTGTTCTCATTCTTAATTTCATTAACTACGACAACTGTGTTTTCTTATTTTCTGAGCTCCCAAGGGCTGGTAGCAAAAAACTAGGGTAAAGGAAGGTGAATTGATCCCCTGGGCAGCTTAGTCCCTGCAGACTTCATGATTTTCCATCCATTTCTTGGCTCCTGGCTATGGCAAGAAGCAGGCAGTGGAGAGAGGCAGAAAAGGCATAGGCAGAAAGTTCAGCCAAGCTAGGTTGGGGGTAGGGGCTCCTTCCTGTGGATGTTGAAACTTGATGAAAACCCACGAAGGGAGGACTCTGTCCGCTGCAGGTGGGCCAGGCATTCGGAAAAACCTGTGGGAGAATAGGGGTGGCCTAGACGTAGACTCCTGTGGCTGGGAGAAGCTAACCCCTCCCCAGCACCCACCCACCCACTCACAGACAATGCCACAGGGCAAACCTTGAAATAAGAGAGGAATGTCCTAAATTAAAACACATAAATGCCTCTCCAGGAGTTCAAATAAAGTTTCATTTTAAAAGCAAAAGGCATAAACTTGTCGCCTCAGTTTATTGCTGAGTGCTTTTGAACTTCTCAGAAAAGAACGCTATAAACTCATGAGAGAAAAATGATTTATGACCCTCTCCTTCTCATCTTTTCAATTCTGTGGGAGGAGGTACCGACAGGATCAGCTAGGGAGGCAGAGTTGGGATGAGGGCAAGCCCCCACGGGGGAGCAGCAGGCCAGGGCTCCAGGCCAGGCCCTGCCTTAGACCAGGCATGGGTATATCTCTCCAGCTTTCTGGGCCTCTCTCTTGCACTTAATGTGAAGAGGCTATTCTGGGTTCCTTGTACTTCTAATGTTTTGAGCTCCTGAAGCATCGTTAAAATCTTTCTTTGATATTCTGATTTGGAGAGTCTAGCTACAGCATTGAAAGACAGACTCTGTTACCTGTGACAGTTTAAGTCCTAAGAAGTTACAATATAATAAAATTGACATTTCTTAGAGTTTGCTATTAAGTTAAAGTCTTGGCCAGGCAGAGTGGCTCACACTTGTAATTCTAGCACTTTGGGAGGCTATGGCAGGCAGATCACTTGAGGCCAGGAGTTTGAGACCAGCCTGGCCAATAATATGGCAAAACCTCGTCTCTACTAAACATACAAAATTAGCTGGGAGTGGTGGTATACTCCTGTAGTTCCAGCTACTTGGAAGGCTGAGGCAGGAGGATCGCTTGAACTTGGGAGGCGGAGGTTGCAGTGTGCTGTGATTGTGCCATTGTACTCTAGGCTGGGTGACAGAAAAAGACCCTGTCTCAAGTAAATACATAAATACATACATACATAAATGAAAGTAAGGGTCTTAAATCATCCCCAAAGCACAGGAGTCTACGTTTATGCCCGGGCATTTTAGCCCTTTAATTCAATCAGGGTTTATTAAGCATCTTATGGAGCTCCTAAGAATTTTGAAGATTAGCTTCACCAGTAGAGAGTCTCATGGCAGGGAACACAAGAGGTGCTGGTGTTTCTAGAAAAGCCTGGTTGGCCCTGTTCTATAACTTGAGGCCGAATAAATGCCTCACAACCACCAACCCATGTTAGAGAAGATTCTTAGGGAGTTTAGGAAAACAGCATGTGTCAGGCATGGTGGCTCACGCCTCTAATCCTAGCACTGTGGGAGGCTGAGGTATGTGGATTGAATGAATTCAGGAATTGGAGACCAACCTGGGCAACATGACGAAACACCATCTCTACAAAAAACACAAAAATTAGCCAGTCATGGTGGCACATGCTTGTGGTTTCAGCTACTTGGGAGGCTGAGGTGGGAGGATTGCTTGAGCCTGGGAGGTCAAGTCTGCAATGAACTGAGAGCGTGCCACTGTGTTCCAGCCTGGGCAACAGAGAGACCCTCTCTCTCAAAAAAAAAAAGAAGAAGAGCATGGTCAACAGGCATGGCCTAGCTCTCTCAAGGCTTAAGAGTACAATGTGGGGAAATTTCTTTATTTTTCTTAAATGACAAGAAAGGGAATTTCATGTTACAGAGACCCAACCTTGGCTGACTGACCTCAGAAAGGATACTTCAGTTCTCTGTGCTTTCTTCTCTGTCAGTGTGGTGGGGGGTCTGTGAGATATTTGTGGAGCACTTAGCTCAGAGCCTGGCTTACGGGAAATGCTGGATGACCATGTAGAAGTCAGCCATCACGTGTTGAGTGCTTGCCAAGTGCTGAGAGCTTTACCTGTAGCGTCTCCTTTAATTATTAAGGCTAATTTGAGATCCTATCCAGATTTCCATTTTACCATGAGCAAATCGAGTCCTAGAGAGTTTTCTACACATCACTTGAGATTGAATAGCTCACAAGAGCCAAGATCTGAAATAAGACGCTTCTGCTGCATTGATGTTTGTTGCCTCCTTTTGTCTTCACCAGTTTTTCTAGATAAAAATCGGATGCTCAGCTGGGAGCTGGGCGAGGTGGCTTGCACCTGTAATCTCAACACTTTTAGAAGCTGAGGCAGGAGAGTTGCTTGAGGCCAGAAGTTCAGTGAGACTTCCTCACTGCAAAATAAATAAAAAAAAAAAAAAAGCACCCCCGCCCCCCGCAAAGAAACCTGGGCATGGTGACATGCACCTGTAGTACTATCTACTTGGGAGGCTGAGACAGGAAGATCGTTTGAGCTGAGGAGTTTGAGGCTGCAGTGAGCTATGATTGTGCCATAGACATTCCAGCCTGTATTGTAGAGTGAGACCCTGTCTTCCCACCCACTGCCCAGCCTCTTGTAAAAAAAAAAAAAAAGAAAAAAAAAAGTCAGATGCCTTTCAGTAGTCACA